CTCGAACCCTTTAAAATATCAATAATCGTGTATCAGATCCTTCAAAAGTAGTATATTTTTTGAAGGATCCGACATCTGACACGGACGCAACATTATTTTTTCGAAAGTAGAGGCGTATTCAGGATTTATAGATAATGGGTGCACTATTACAAAAAGGTGGATCTAAGACATAAATTTGATCGGTTAGATTCTTTTTACTGAAAACCATTAAAATTTTAAAATCATAGGTCCAAAATTGACTTTTATTTATCCAAACCAGTTACAAAATCTTAGAAAGAAAATTAAAACAAGATAGATAAAAGATTCAAATTTCTAACCTCACCTAAAGAGGTGCACCTAATCATCATCGTACTACATTATATGATACTTCGAGTCTGGGTTCACGCATCTATATTTAAATATTTTTAAAAAATATAACACTACTATATATGATTTCGGGAGGGGACCATGGGATCACGTGAACCTGGTGACCCCCTCCTGTATACGCCCCTGTTCGAAAGTCCAAGCAACATAGCTTATACCTATGTTTTTCTCATACACTCCAAAAATGTTGCCGCACCCGTGTTGAATTCTTCAAAAATACGTTACTTTTGGAGAATCCAATACTCATCAAGAGTGAGAGATCCGTCTAAGAACAATAGAAGAGGGATATACCATCGAATCGGATCTTAGAGAAGTCTCGTACATGTCGATATTTTTGAAGAGTCTGAACTTATTTATACTCCTTATGTTATGGAAATCTTACACTAATGAATTCCTCAACTATTTGATAGGGACTAGGATTGCTAGCATTTCAAGCACACTATCCCAAATACAAGCCACCACTTTGCAACATTCTTGATCCAACATCAAATTGTGAGAAAGTTGATGGTAAAAATGCAGCACTTTTATTTGTTGCACTTTATTTGGTAGCACTTGGCTCAGCAGGGATCAAATCAGCATTGCCATCACATGGTGCTGATCAATTTGATGAGAAAGACAAGAAAGAAGCAATTCAAATGTCAAGTTTCTTCAATTGGCTTTTGTTAGCTGTGTGTGTTGGTGGTTCATTTAGTACAACATTTATTGTGTGGATTCAAGAACATAAAGGATGGGATTGGGGATTTTTTGTGAGCACATTGGCTATGTTGTGTGGTGCAATAATATTTTGTGTTGGATTACCATGGTATAGAATATTTGTTATCAAGGGAAGAAGTGCCATCACTGAAATTTTCCAGGTAAACTGTCACCTTTTCGTAAGTTTCATACCTCATGAACTATATATTACTTTCTTGGTGTATTAAAAAACACACGTAGAGAATAGCATGTGTTATAATACAAAGGGCGTGATAGTTTAGGTAGATAAAGAGAATAGCATATAGTCAAAGTATGAAACTCGTGAAAAACTCTAGTACAAACACTTATTTTGTGGATTCAAAAACATAAAGGTCGTCCTTTCGAAAGTTAAACATAAGTCTTAGCTATATGTTGCTCGAATCCTTTGGAAATGTTGCCTGATATGTGTCGAATCCTCCAAATTTTATTCATTTTTTTGAGGATCTGACACGAGTACAACTACATTATTTAAACGATCCGACCAAACATAGAGTCTTATAGTACTCTTACAATTCTCTCTCTATGACAAACTATGATCATTTTTCTAATTTTGTTTTCCTTACTTGTGCTCTTATTGATAGGTGTATGTTGCAGCCATAAGAAACAGAAATCTTCAACTTCCTCAGGACTCATCCAATCTCTATGAGATCGACGAGGATGAGGAAGCTGCAATTCAAGCAGAGTTTCTACCTCATACTGATACATACAAGTTAGTTATTTCTCTGTTTCATATACTTATTCGACCAAATTTTTATATTATCAGATCACCTAAAAGATAATAATAAGTATCGCACCTAACAAACAGGATTGGTGCAACAACATTTTTGAAGAGTCTGAGAAATCCGACTTAACTTATTTCTTTTTTTTTCTTTTCTAGGTTCTTGGATAAAGCAGCTATTATTCAAACATCACAACAACAACAATCTGAAAAAACAATTAATCCATGGAGACTTTGTAGAGTTACACAAGTAGAAAATGCAAAAATCTTGCTAAGTATGGTACCTGTTTTTTGTTGTACAATTATTATGACACTTTGTCTAGCCCAACTTCAGACATTTTCAATTCAACAAGGCTTCACCATGGATACAAGGATCACAAATTCCTTTCACATACCACCTGCCTCATTGCCAATCATCCCCATTGTGTTCTTGATCATCATCATCCCCGTCTACGATCAAATCATCGTTCCAATCTTGCGCAAGTTTACCGGCATTCCCACAGGTAAGGCTGTCAAATGAACGAGTTTAACTGAATTTGGACGGGTCAAAATAGATTAATGAGCTAATAAATAAGTTGATTGAGCTAAATTTGGCAGGTCAAAATGAACTGAGTTAATAAATAGGCAGGGGTGGGTCATGAACTCATCCTAATATTACTTAGCAAAAATGAATTGGGCCAAAATGTTCTAGCTAAACAATAAGTCATAACTCAACCAGTCAACTCTTACTAAATTTTAATCTTTATTTTGTTTTCTTATTTATAAAAATTACATATTAAAACTTTGTTTTTCTTTATATATAATGATATTAAATTACATATTAAAATTAAAGTTTCTTTTTCTTTTCTGAATGTAACGAATCAAAATGATTTGAATTAATAAGCAGATGAGTCATTAATCCATTCAAAAATTACTTGGTCTAAAAATGAGTTTGAGCCCAATCGCCCAAAACACTTACATGCTTTGGGCGAGTTTGAGTTGTATCAATAAATGGATGGTTTGGGCATATCATATCTTTATAGGCTAATTTTGTCACTTCTACCTATACAGGCATAACATACTTGCAACGAGTCGGGGTTGGCTTAGTCCTCTCCGCTTTATCTATGACAGCAGCATCCATCTTAGAAGTCAAGCGCAAACAAGTAGCACGGGAACACAACATGCTTGATGCGATTCCCGTGCTACAACCATTGCCTATTAGTGTGTTTTGGCTCTCAATCCAATTCTTCATATTTGGAATTGCAGATATGTTTACTTATGTGGGACTTCTTGAATTCTTCTACTCTCAAGCACCAAAAGAATTGAAATCAGTGTCATCATGTTTTCTATGGACTTCAATGTCAATTGGATATTTCTTGAGTTCAATTATTGTGAAAATTGTGAACAAGGCAACTAAAAAAGTTACAAATAGTGGAGGGTGGTTAGTTGGGAATAATTTTAATAGGAACCATTTGAATTTATTTTACTTGATGTTAGCTGTGTTGTGTTGTTTGAATTTTTGTGTCTATTTGGTTGTTGCTAGTAAGTATAAGTATAGGGTACAAAAAAGTCCTAGTGATCAAGATGATAGTAGAGTACATGCTCTAAAAGATCGAAGCGCAGTCGCTCTACCTTTTCAAGGCAAGAGTAGAGTTGATCAGTAAGCACTATCAGCTTCTCCAAATCTCATTTACAGGATTTCAGTGGATATGTTACTGTTATTGTTGACGAAGATTTAAAAGTGAAATTTATGTTATTTGCTATATATTAGCAAGGAAATCAGTTTCTTTCTAATTGTACTTGGAAAATTCAGTTGTTTTGAAAATTGAAATATTAGTTCCTTATTGTTGGTTGTCTAGCAAAAGGTCTTTCTATTTTACATTCAAAATATTGATTTGCTATATTCAATCAATTTGTATTTCTCATTAAGGAAAATTAAAGGAGTAAATACTAGAGTAACTTTGCCCTCTATTAGAATTGTTTTGGTCTAAATTTATCTTTTCCTCAAGAAAAAAGTCTCCTTTTTATGCCTAACGAAACTTCAATTCAAGAGTTATTTCAGATCGTCATTAAAAATTAAGAAAGATAAAATTGAACGCATACATAAAGTTCACTCATTTTACGTTAGAACTCCTCAATGGCATTAATGATAAATTTAACGCGATTTGCTAACGGTAGATAAAGACAGCCAAAATTCTGTACGTTTAAGATTTATTATATATATATATACTTTTTAACTTATATATATACAATTTAAATTTTATTGCTTAAATTATAGTCAAAAGTTTAGAATAAATCAATGTTCACTCAGGTAATTTATGCAAAGTAATTCTCACTAAATAATTCGAAATATTGATATACATGAAAATAATAATAATAATTATTATTATATTATATATATATTAAAAAAATTATAATTTCCATCAAAAAGAGGTTCAGAATCCCCCAGAGGCTTATCCAGGATTTCGAAATGATGGGTGCCTTATTACAAAAAAATTTGATCTAAGATATAAATGTGATCGGTTCGACATTTAGGTTTTTATTACTGAAAACCATTCAAATTAATATTATAGGTCCAAAATTAATTAAAATGTCAAAATGTTACCAATAACCATTTAGAGAGGTGTTATCTAATTTTAGAAAGAAAAATAAAACACGATGAATATAAAATTCAAATTTCTAATCTCACGTGGAGAGTGCACTCAGTCATCATAACATTATATGATACTCCGAATATGGGTTCATACATCTATATTTTAATATTTTAAAAAAATATAACACTACTATATATGATCTCGAAAGGAGAGTATGAATTCACGTGAACCCGGTGACCCCTCGTTAGATACGCCTCTAAAATCCCCTTAGCTTTACTTGATTCCGAATCTCCTCTAATAATAGTGACAAACACAAAAAAACTAACACTCCATGCAATCCATTACGTGGCTACAAGGCTCAGAAATACAAGCCACCTCGACGACACATGCATGCCTACGTGCCCACCCAAAAATCCACCACATCATACAATGCCACAACGACACATGCATGCCTACGTGCCCGACCGAAAATCCGCCACATCATACAAATAGAAAAACAAAAACTTAATAAAGCTCTACCCAACTCAACCCCATCCATTTCAATCACTTTTTTATACTTCAAAAAATTTCAAGAAAAACTGTCTAATTATTTCAATATTATTATTTCTATCATTATGGCTTCTACAACAAAAGGTCATGAGCAAGTTCCACCAGGAGAGCCTATGTCAATGGGGCAACATATGCTAGACAAAGGGGCTCAAATGATGCAATCTTTGAAACCTATAAAGCAAATGAACCAACATGTGTGTACTTTTGCTATGTACAGTCATGATATGTCCCGTCAAATTGAGACACATCACTATGTCACACGCGTAAATCAAGATTTTCTTCAGTGTGCTGTTTATGATTCTGATGAATCCACCGGACGCCTTATTGGTATATTGTTAGTTTTGTATTTTTTAAACTTCATATCAAGTCGATCGGGTGAATACACATTAAATTTTTTTAATATAACTGTAGGTATAAATAATTATGAATTTATATGCAGGAGTGGAGTATATATTATCTGATCGTATCTTTGAAAGTTTGCCTCAAGAAGAACAAAAACTTTGGCATTCTCATGCACACGAGGTTTGTACCTTAATTTTCATTTTTTTTTAACACCATATATTAGTAGACGAATGATTTTGTAGTCCTTTATAAATTTATTTTTAGTTTTATATCGATTTTATAAGAAATATTCATTTTTACACCCAAGACTCAAGAGATTGATCTTCATTTTTTTTCCTCGAAAGGTTATTTTCTTCTTTCTGAGCGGTCGTAGAGATCGTTTTCTCCTAGTAGGTTAGTTACCATATTACTACAATAAAAATCACTTTTAGGGGAATAAATATATAAATTAATAAAGAGTGATAAAGTTTTAGCAGCATTAGTCAATTGCCATTGGATTTAATGTCCTATAGGCTTCAGGGACATCTGCAAAGAGTTTTAATTGACGTTAAAAATATATATTTAGCTAGGGACAGACCCACGTGGGTTTCAGGGATTCACCCGAACCCTCTGACAAAAAATTACACCGTATATATAAGGTAAATTCTCTGTGTTTATGTAGATATATTAATTTTGAACTCCTAATCTCATGGACAAGAATAAAGCTTTAGTGTAGAGGCATGTCTCCTTAAAGTTAACTTCTGTGTCTGGAGTTCGCATCCTGACGTTAGTGTTTCATTTTTTTTTAGCTTTCTTTTTATTTAGTTTCAGTTCCTAATTTTCTTGCTTTTTTTTAAAGTGTGGATTTGAACAAAAAAAAATCAAGTTTTCATTCCTAAAGGCTAAATCACTTTTCACTTCCCAAATCCCTATTTTTTGAACCCCTTGAGTGAAAATCCTGGATCCGTCACTGTATTTAGCGGTAATATGTAAGTTATTGTCATTAATTAATTATTGCTAAAGATCATTTTATGGTGTATTTGTTATGTTATTAAGTTTTTTTGTACTTGTAATTACATAAAACACCTCTTATGTTTCATCGTACATTTGATCTAAAATAAGTCATATATATATATATATATATATATAACGGTTTGATCTTTGTGAAAATTTGATATGTAGATAAAATCAGGACTTTGGGTGAATCCAAGAGTTCCAGAAATGGTAATAATGTCTGAATTGGAGAATCTTACCAAAACCTATGGCAAATTCTGGTGTACGTGGCAGACAGATAGAGGTAACTTTACAATTTAATATATTATAAATTGGCCTCGTTTCAGTTCATGTGGCACTGTTAACAATGAACTGTGGCACTGTTGATGATTTCGAAAGTCAAACGAGTTTTTTTTTCACGGTGGTTTTTTCATATGTATTCTGGATGGTTGGTTATGGTTACTTTTAGTACTTTGATTTTTATTTAGTTTTCAAATATTAAATTTTATTTCAAAAAAGAATTATGTTTGAATTGAAGGTCGAAATGTTTGGCTGTCGAAATTCTGAGTAGTTGTGTTACATAAATTGGGGCGATGGGAGTCCCTCCGTCTCAATTTATATGTGATTATTCGTGTTTCGAGAGGTGATGAGTTGTTGATTATTGTAGCTTTTAATTAGTGCTTTTTATTTAGTTTTACTAATACTAAATTTTATTTGAAAATGAAGTTATGTTTGAATTCACTGTCAAAATGTTTGGAGTCGAAATTTAGTCTTTGCTAATAGTACATTAGTCCTCCTATCTTAATTTATATGTTGATTATTTTGATTTTGAGATTCAAACGAGTTATTTCACGTTAAATTCTTCATTTATTTACTTATTGAAAGACAAAAAAGGTGGTACTAATTGCTAATTTTAACTTGCAATTTCGAAGGTGACAAGTTACCAATTGGGCCTCCATCACTAATGATGTCTCCACAACCAGTAGATTTGGGCATTGTGAAAATAGGTCTAGTCAAGAAGAGAGATGACAAGTACAACATATCGACGGACGCCATGAAAACAGCTCGGGCTGATTTATCTGAGCCCACGCGTCTCAATTCGAGGGCGGATTATTGGGTGGAGCACCGTAAGGGTTTTGCGATCGATGTTGAGGATGTTGAGATGAAGAAGATAGCACCATTTCCATGAGTTTGTAGACAAGCTTTTGCATGCATGGTTTGCATAGATGTTAATGATTTGCTTTTTAAAAGGCATTTACTAAAAGGGATACGAATAACGAATATATATGTGAAGTTCAATGCTTGGATGAAGCAATTCATTTTTATTTTATTTTTTGGTTTAGTTAAAGTTCGACTATTTGGGTTCAAAGATTGTTTCTATATGCAGTGTAATTATCCGGTTTCACTAATAAATAATTTCGTATTAAATTTAAGTTTGATACAACGCTCCTTTAATTTTTTTCCTTTGATACATATATTTTTTATATCAAATATGCTCTGAAATATACATAATAGGGAGATATACTCTGAAATATAAATAGAGGGAGAGAGGTAAGCAAAAGAGTCAATATATCATGGATATTAAATATATATTTTTGATAAATACATAGAAAGACGAGGGAGTGAGGCAAGTGAAATAGGAGAGAAGCGAGGAAAGAGTCGATGTATATAACTACATGCTTCTGTATTTAAAATAAATTATACTTAATTTGGGTCTCCTTTTTTTCTTTGATACATGTATTTTTTATATCAGATATATTCTGAAATATAGACACATAGAGAGAGGGGTAAGCAAGAGAGTCAATATATCATAGATATTAAATACATAATTTTGATAGATACATAGAGAGACGAGGGAGTGAGGCAAGCGAAATAAGGAAGAAGCGAGGAGAGAGTCTATGTATACAAATATATGCTTTTATATTTAAAATAAATTATACTTAATTTGACCCATATGCATTTGAGTGCGTACTCAAATACATGTATTTTAAAAAGAAAATGGATACGAAAGAATTTTCAAAATTGATATTTGACAAAGAAAATGGATACGAAAGAGAATTTTCAAAATTGATGTGAGAGCACGTAATTAGATCTTAAATTAGTGAAATTTATATTTTTTGTGAGAGAGTTAAGTTTGAAATTTAATTTAAAATTATTTAAATATAATAGATACCTCGATCCATGAAACGACCACCCCACTTGTTGAACATAATGCCATTTTCCACCTTTTCTACAATATATAAAAAAAAACCCAGCTAAACCATCTCTGTAATATTCCATCAACTTCTCAACCATTACTTCTAAAAAAAAAAAAAACTTTTTAAAAATGGGTTTTCTCAAATCCCTTAATCATCATCATCTTCTTCATGCTCAATAACATTTTCATAATCAAATTCCTTTCATTTCTTGGACTCATAGCCATTTTTTTACTCTTTTATTCGATTCTCACAGTACCAGATCCAATGCAGAATGTACAACTTAACGAAGCAGACACCAACAAAACTGAAGTTTATTCAGTTTGGGCGATTCCATCGGAAGATGTCAGTGTTAGGGTTAAGAAATTGATGGGTGGACTTAGATCGGAATTTGGTGGGCCCCAATTTGAACCTCACGTGACAGTCGTCGGAGCGGTGAGGTTAACGGAGGAGGAGGCACGTGACAAGTTTAGAAAAGGGTGTGAAGGGGTGAAGAAGGTGTATAGTGTTACTGTGGAGAAAGTTGATATTGGGACTTTTTTTTATCAATGCGTTTATCTTTTGCTTCATCCAACTAATGAGGTAAAAAAAATTAATCTTTTTATTGTTTGACTTTTTTGTTGTAGCCGTAATCGTAGTCGTAGACTCGTAGTATTGCTTGTGTAGTTTCTTGTCCTTAATTTGATTTATGTTAGTATCTGTTTGATTTGTTGTTTCTCGATTATAGTATAGTGCCTTGGTTTTTGTTCCAATGATGTGTTGATTCTTTATACCTCGATTATCGTATTGTTTTGTTACTATATGTTTGATTCCTTGTACCTCAATTTCTATTCCGATGTGTTGATTACTTGTACTTTGATTATCGTATTTTTTGTTACTATATGCTACTATATGTTGATTCCTTTGTACCTCATCTGTTCCTACATGTTGATTACTTGTACCTCGATTATCGTAATGTTTTGTTACCATTTGCTACTATATGTTGAATCCTTGTACCTCAATTTTGGTTTCTGTGTTGATTACTTGTACCTTGATTGTCGTACTGTTTTATTCAAATTTTTATTAGTGTGTTTGTTTATCTTTTGCTTCATCCCATCACTGAGGCAGAAACAGATCTTTTTTTAAAAAAAAAAAAAGATTTTCATTTGAATTATTAGTAGTCGTAGTAGTATTGCTCTAGTAGTTTCTTGTTCTTCGGCTTTTTTATTGTATATTGATTCTTTGTACCTCGATTATCATACTCTTTTGTTACTATATGTTGATTCCTTGTATGCCGATTTCTGGTCCTATGTGTTGATTACTTGTACTTCTACTATCGTACTATTTTGTTGTCATCTGCTTACTGTGTGTTGATTCTTTATACCTTTATGTGTTAGCAATACTATGTGTTTTCACTTTTGAAGGGTCAAAATTATTTAACTTAGGGAAATCAAGCTTTTAGCCAGTAGAACTGTCAATGTCATATCAACCTTGCAACTGGAAAAGAGAAAACAGAATCCATATATAGGAAACTATGGAAGTTTACTTATTCTTTATGGTGATTTTTTTAAATGTATGATCACTTTTAAGTTGGGTTGCTGAGGATAAATTAGTGATATGGAATTCCTTTCTACCAGGTTGTGGAGGCTAGTGCACGCTGCTGCAGCAGCTTTGGTTACAACAGCTCAAGTCGTAAGTTATACATTCTATCTTTGTATTTTCTGGCACTTTTATAATTTAGTCGTTTTGCCTTTTTCATGGTTTCGACTTCTCTGTTTGTCTCTGTATCATCTTGTTACATTATAGTAGTCAGATACTTACTCGTAATGTTCATAAAACAGAATAAATGATAGCGAGAATAATTCCTTTTAATCCCGTTACTTCCCAATGGATTGAACTTGCCTGAATATCCTTTTTGTCACACTCCTTAAATCTCCTAAACAAGGAGCCATCGTTCACCTCAGACTTCCTTCATATCCCCCCCTCGTTCCAATTTCAAATCAACATTGTTATTAGGATGAATTTCTGATCGTCTACCTTCACGATAGCAACTAGCACACGCCTCGACTAATTCCACGGTATCCGGACCAATTTGCACACGCCTCGACTAATTCCACAAGATACCTGTCACCTCCCATCAACAACTGATACTAGGTAACTCTATCCACTAAGGCTAGAACAGATGAGATGATAGCAACGAGCTCATTTGGAATATAGAACTCGACAATTGGTTAGAGACTCCTTTGGAATCTTAAGTTCCCCTATGTGAATGCTAAATCTATATACTCATGTTGCCTGAATATATGGAGTTGATTTGTTGCCAGTTGGTACATGAGGTTCTTTTGGAAGTCGGGAATTTGAAATGTACATGAACTATCTATGGTGAGTGACTCATGTCTTGATGTAGACACACTTTTCTGGATTTATGTTATTGTTTGTGTTGTTCTAGCAATGAAGAATAATCTTAGAAGAGTTTTTCTCATTTGGGGCTTTCGAGGGGCGCGGGGCAGTATAGTGAGTGCGGACAAACTCTAGGATAAAGCAAAGATGCTATGCTATTCTGAAAGCAGCAAATTGTACAATTTGTAACAGACGTAAATCTATTTACTCCTCAAGCTGTCAAAACGTTACTGGTTCACTTTCTACCAAATTCTTTCTATCATGAGATAGGTTTTCTATTGCTGATGTTCAGTTTTTATGACCATGCAGCATATATGCCTCATATGAGCATTCTTTATGCCGATTTGACGGATGAAGAAAAGAAGAAAGCTCAAGAGAAGGCTTATATCCTTGATGAGAGCATTGACAACTTGAGCTTCCAGATATCACGCCTTGCATTGTACAAAACAGACACCGAAGACAAAAGCCTCAAATCATGGGAGAAGATTGAAGAGTACAATCTCAGCTAGCACTAACTAGTTCTAACGACACTGTTAACTCTCCACGAGCGGAAACTCTTTGCTCAAGAAAATGTGGTGTACCTTATCTTTACCTTAATTTTCATTGCCAGCAACTTTCAAGTCTTTTTCATGTCTTATACATGAGAACTGTGCTGTTGGGGCTTCCTTTTTCTGTATATTTTGGGTTTTTGCAAAACTTCCAGGAGTTATTAATTACACAACCATATAAAGCGTTGCAATTGCCATTTTTTTGGTCTTTATTTAAGCTGTCAAGAATTTCATAATACAAAGTCAAACATAGCTCTATGGAGTACCAATCAATAGGTTCTCTTTAACCAGACTCTGGTTCGAGCCCTATATATGAGGTTGCTTTTGTTAAGGGGTTGAGAGACTTTTTGGCACAAATCTTGATTTAGTTGTTATTCCAACACAGGTTGACATGTGTTGAGAAACAAAAGAAAAAAAGAGAGATTCTCTTTGAACTTTGATGTTTGTTTAAGATAATCGTTGAGTTCTCTTTGGACTAGATAGGATTATTTTGGAATGGTTAGTTTTCTTTTATTTTGGAATGGAAGTTTTCTTTTTATTCTTAAACTAGAGGTCTTGGTTCGAGCCCCGAGTATTAGGCCGCCTTTGTTAGAGGGACTGGGAGATTTTGCAAAAAGAGATTCTCTTTGATACTTGATATTCAATCGAACATGAATCTAAATTTAATCAAAGGCAAACACAAATATCAACCACCAAATATTAGATTAAGAGATGACACCGAATTTGTATTTATTTTTCCCATTTAATGTAAAACTATTCAATTAAAAAGTTGGTTACCATAACTAATTTTTTTTTTTGAAAAATTAAGAATACTCGAGTAATAACTTAATTAAAAGAATAATACTCTCACAATCTCAAATTTCGAGACATAAAGTAAAAAAAATTGGATCAAATTTATTCGTATATTTTAAAAAATGTTGAATTATTAGGTATACATTTATAAAAAAAATTACGTAGTTCTTAGATATATATAAGTTGTTTTTCAAAAACCTTAATATTGTTTATTCGAACGCAATATATATTTGATCCTCGAAATTCAAACTACGTAGTATAAATTTAAAAAAAAAGAAAGAAAGAGCAATCTTCTTTCCAATTTACAACCATGACATGAATATCAAATAAAACCAAAATCACCTTACAATCCAACTAAGAAAGTAACAAGAATTTTGCTCCAATTATAAATTGCATTTTGCTCTATAGAACCCAAAAAATAAGCATTCATCCGTAGCTTGTTCAAATAGGGTAATTTGGAGATTGTGTTTGAAAGGTTTGATTAATCGAAGTCAAAATTAAATGGGGTTCAGTGTTTGAGTTTGAGGACAGTAACAATGGAGGGTTGCTCCTTGAGGAAAGTTGATAAGAATCAAGTTATCAGAATAAACAAGAAAATAATGCGGAAGCGAAATTATAAAGATTAAAGACAAAAATTGAAAGATATGTGAAATTCAAGAATAAAACCCCCAATTTCAAGACAAAGTGCTAAAAGCTCTAATTGATCTTAGTATTCAAAATTAACGGATTAAGACTAATTATGATACTAATAGAGTCAATTCAAGAACTTAAATCAAAAGTGATCTAGACCCCCTATTACGAAGAAATTAGAGACAACAATTAGTATAAGACTGATCACCTTCTTTAATTTACGAATAGAAACCAAAGATATCAAATTAAGAATTAATCTTACTTCTTAGAGAATCGTTCTTATAAGGTTGTAAGATAAATGATAGTCCCCACACACAGTAAAGAATAGAAAACCTCTCAAATAATATTAATCATGTCTATCTATAAATAATAAAATTCACCCCTATATATAGGGAAAACCTATCCCAAATAGAATAGGATTTAAATCATACTTTCATGGAAAAAAATTAAATCAGGAAAACTTAGGTAATTTTTAAACTAGGGAACTTTAAACTAGAAAAACTTTAAAATAGGAAACTATTTAAATTAGGAAAACTTTAAACTAAGAAACTTTTAAAATAGAAACTTTTGACTTTAAGCGTTCAGCTTTTTAGACTCTTTTATTAGGCTTCGTATAGCCCAATCTTCTTTCTTTTGGACTTGAATTTGAACACCTCTTCCTTGATAAACATAATCTTGATTTTGTATTGAAGCCCGTCAACTTTAGTACAATTAGGCTGACATGGATGCTATCAACAGTAAAATTAATTTAACATGAGAAGAAAAATGATAAAGAGAGATGGTCAAATATAATACACACCATATAATAATAATTTTATTATTATTTATTTTGAATGTATGAAAATATAAAAACTAAGAAACAGGAAAGAAGATTTCTGTATGACCTTGACAAATATTATTTTGAGTGATTTGGCAACTAATAAAGTCGCCGAATCTGCGATTCACACAAAGTCTTATCCTAGAATCAGTAGATGATTAGTCATATTCATATAACATGAGATGTATACATTAGTATAATCTCCTCCTACTAGACCGGTTATAGCCAATTTTATCTCGTATGCTTTGTGATCTGATGGGTTTATTTCTTGATCTTTTAAATAGGTAACTAGATTATTAATCATCAGTTTATTATCGGTTTTATTGAAGTAACCAGTTACATCGAGTACACCATCAATACTATAGCCATGTTGCCTCCACTCGTGCATCCATAACCACTCGTATAATTTGAATTTTTTAATTGTTTATTAAATTTCCTTAAATGATGCGGCAATTTCGGTTACAAGAAAAAGCAAAACGATTTCTTAATTCATGGTTATTATATTTAATTAAAATTCCTTATCTAATATAACTTCTTCTTCTTGACAAAAAAAGTATGATTCAATGTATATAACAATTGTATATGTAAATAATTCAATCAAGTTTACAAAAAAAAATTATAGTTGAAGTATATCAATTTGTATAAACAATATTATGTATAGCGGTTTGTATATGTTAATGAATAAATTATATATTATATGTTTTGTATAAATTGATCGGTGGTATAAATCAAACAAGTTGTTACATATATCATACTTGTATTTGAAGTATATAAAACATATTTGTATGTGTCTTAAAATTATGAAATATTATACAAATAAAACATACTTTAAATAAATATATGTATACAAAATACCTAATAAATTTAGTTGTATAATTATACAATATTGGATTGTGTAGCTATAGTTTTCAAAATTTGAATTTTCAAAATTGGATGATTGAATATGTCCATTTGAATTATAATTTCGTTAAGTTATTTAAGAGAAGTGAGATTTTAGGAGATAGATTAGTGGGCGTGATAAGAGAGAGTGCGTTTCGATTTGTATAAAAGATGAAAGAGAACTAACATGTTTTAATACAAAACGTAGGACCCACCATATAACCATTTTATTCAATTATAACCGTCTTTTATAATTAAATTAAATTGTAGTTATGAAACATAATTAATTAGTATATGTTAGTTTATTAGTTATGTAATTTTTCTTATAAAAAATAGTCCAAATATAGGTAATCCGTCTAATCCAATCCGTCCAATTTAATCTCCGATTTCAATCTGTTTTAAAACTTTTTATTTGCATTGATATAATATATGTTCCTGTATTTAAAGTATGAATTATTATCTATTTTATATATTTTAGGATTTATCTATCCATTTATAACTTTTTTAAAAAGAAATTCTTGAGTTGAAATTCAAATTATGGTTATAAAAAACTTAAATAAAAATATATTAAAATTATTGAAATTAAGCGGGTCAAATTAGGCGGGTAAAGACCCAACCCGTTTTTACGCCCATTCGAGTCCAACTCATTTGAGCCCAAAGTAAATTTAAGCGGGTCAGGACCCAACTCAATTTCTATTTCAACCCATTTTAATATGGGAAATTATATATAATAGCAAACTATTAATTCAAATTAAATGCTATAAAACATAGTTTGATTTAATTGTACCCTATAGCAAACTATTGCTATTTTGCCTCCTCCCTGGTGGAATCTCGCTCGCCACTCTCGTTTTGGTGGTAGTCTCGCTCGCCTCTCTCGCTTTTATACAAGCACAAATGTATAAAATGCATTTGTGTTTGTATAAAGCGAGAGAAAATTGTATATATACATATATTTTCGTTCCCCTCTCTCCCCTCTCCCAGATCTCGCTCGCCACTCTCCAGATCTCGCTCGCCACTCTCACTCGCCTCTCTCACTTTATAGAAATACAAATGTATACATTGCATTTGTATTTGTATAAAGCGAGAGAAAATTGTATATACAAATACAAATGCATATATTTTCATCATATACACTTATGATTATACAAATGCAATCTTTTCCTGCCCAGTTTTCTTTTGTCTTTCTCTCTTTCTCGCTTTATATAAGCACAAATTATACAATTGATCTTTTGTATGTGTATATCGAAACAAATTATACACTGCTTTCTTTTGTATATGTATAGCGAATTATACAACTGTTTTCTTTGTATATGTATAGTGAAATATACATATTTATGTTTGTTATGGAGCGTAATTATGCAAACTATAACTATAACATACAAATATGATTTTTATGTTTGCTATATGTGAAAGTTGCTCTTTTAATATCTTCAATTTCAACCCAAACCACCTATTTGAGACCCCTAGTCATACTTATAGTGGGACAAGATTGTCTTTTCACTATTTTCCTTCCATTATTATTATATTTATTTTTTCAAATTGATGAAATACGAGACGGCTGAGACTGACCAAAGTTGTATGCAAGCTAGACATGAAAGAAGCATATGACCATTCGTTGACACCCAATTTTGATCGACCTATAATCCTTTTGAAATTGCTATTTAATTACATACGTATTTTAAGACATATTTCCTTTTATTAAATGTTTAAAATTTTAGTCAATCTTGTCTAAAAAGTTATATATTTTAGTACTCAAAATTTGCGTAATTATTATTAAAATATTTTGTTATTATTGAATTCTTATATTTACCAATATTTAAAACTCAAAATAATTACTTTACTTATTTATTTAAATGTTTTAAAATTTAGGTATGTTTAATTATGTGAAAATCTTTTAATATGTGAAGAATTCTATTAATTGGATAGCACTTTTCTAATCTTCTCTTAAACTATTTAAATCGTAGCTCATTCTATTCAAATTATTTAAATCATAGCCCTTTTACTATTCAAATTATTTGATATGAAGTTACCTTTTGTTACGAAACACTTTACAATATTATTTTTCGACATGAATCTAAATTTAATCGAGCGCTAACACAAATATCAACCACTAAATAAAACAAATTTTAGATTAAAAGATGAATCCGAATTCGGATTTATTTTAGGGAAAATTACGCGGTTAAGAAAACTTATACTATTTAATTACTCATCATAGCTATAGTTTGCTATAATTACCACTCACGACTAGCATTATACATTAATTACGCGGGCTGACTTCGAGTTTGTATAATTAGTCATGTTTGTATATGTATAATTCGTCAGAATATACAAATACATATGTATAATATACAATTCACCTCTCTCCCACTATCTGCCCTCTCTCGCTCGCCTCTCTCCTCTCTCTCCCAATCTCGCTCGCCTCTCTCTTCCCTCTCCCAATCTCGCTTGCTATATATACAATTGCATATGTATAATATACAATTATCTAACATATATACATATACAATTCACCTCTCTCCCCCTCTCTGCCCTCTCTCTCTCGCCTCTCTCCTCCCTCTCCCAATCTCTCTCGCCTCTCTCCTCCCTCTCCCAATCTCTCTTGCCATATATACAAATATATATGTATAATATACAATTATCTAACCTATATACATATACAATTCACCTTTCTCCACTCTTTGCCCCCTCTCTCTCGCCTCTCTCCTCTCTCTCCCAGTCTCGCTCGCCTCTCTCCTCCATATAACATGTAGCTACGAATTGTAATTATCAAACTATAACTATGGAGAGTAATTAGACTATTTTTGAGTGGCTATATGTGAAAGTTCCCTTTTATTTTATCCGTAAAACTATTCAATTAAAAAGTACCATAACTAAAGATTTAGAGTATTTTTTTACGTAGGTTTTAGATATATAAGTTATTTTTCAAACATCTTAATATTATTTATTTGAACGCAATATAAATTTGACCCTCCAAATACAAACATAAAAAAACCAAAAAAAAAGAAAAAAGAGAGCAATCTTTATTCCAAGTTCCAACCAATCACCGCCGTCATCGCTTATGGAATTGTCTCCTCCACTTGCATCTCTTAACGCGTGCCTCTCACGCTCCTTCTTAATTTAGCAAATTTCTTACCTTAGAAGTGAGCCTAACCCCTTTGAATCTGTAATGGGGGTTCTTGGTTAAACCTTCAAATTCCTTAATTTTTTAGGATTTTTCTGTTCAAGCACTATTTTTTACCAATACCCTTTTGCTAATTTTGGATTCTTGAAAAGTTCTAGGAATTACTGTAACAAACTTATTGTTGTTAGGGTAGTGTAATTTTTGTACATTTTCTTGAAATGGAACCGAATTCACCTGTGAGATTCAAATTAGGTAAGCAATCTTCATTAGCACCAGAGAGGAGGGGGGAAGAAGTATTAGGAGGTGAAGATGATGGATTTGTTATTGATATTGATCCAAGGGTTAGGTTGATGTATTCGGCGAATGAGGGTGATATAGAAGGGATAAAGGAGATTTTGGAATCAGGGACTGATGTTAATTTTAGGGATATTGATGAGAGGACTGCACTTCATGTTGCTGCTTGTCATGGTTCAAGTGATGTTGTGCAGTTGTTGCTTGATAATGGGGCTGAAGTTGATCCAAAAGATCGGTGGGGGAGTACGGTATGATGATCAATCCCATTATGGTTTTGTTGATGTTTGATTGTTAATATGATTTTCTGTTTTGTTTGTTGTTGTTGTTGGTAAAGTTAGTTCTTGTTACCTAGCTTGTGAAGTTTTGAAAAAAGGTTGTTTTTTTGGGTATGTAGCTGGTTAGTGAAAGTAGTTTGCATTGTTACTTGGTATCTAGCTTATGAAATTTTAAGAAAAGGGGTTCTTTTTTGGGTATGTAGCTGATTATTGAGAGTAGTTTGGTATTGTTGGTACACTTATGAAATGAAAAAGAAAAAAAAAATCCTTTTGGGGTATGTAGCTGGTTATTGAGAGCTACGTTGCTCAGACTCTTTAAAAAAGCGACGAGGGCGTGCCTAATTCTCCAAAAGTAGTGCATATTTGAGGAATAAGACCCGGGTGTGGCATAAGTTTTGGAGAGTCCAAGTAAGGTATAGTTACTTCTTGGTATCTAGCTTATGAAACAATAAAAGAGTTTCTTTTTTTTTGGGTATGTAGCTGGTTATTAAGAGTAGTTTACTGTGTTTGGTACAGTTACTTCTTGGTTCATCTAGCTTATGAAATTAACAAAAAAGATTTCCTTTTTGGGTATGTAGCTGGTTATAGAGAGTAGTTTCCTATTGTTGGTATAGTTACTTCTTGGTATCTAGCTTATGAAATAAAAAAAGGAAAAAGGTTCCTTTTTGGGTATGTAGCTGGTTATTCGGAGTAGTTTGCTGTTGTTGGTACAGTTACTTCTTGTTGTCTAGCCTATGAAATGCAAAAAAGGATCTTTTTTGGGTATATAGCTGGTTATTGAGAGTAGTATTGCTCAATTGACAGATATTTCCATCCTTTAGCCCATCTTACTTTTCAAGTTATTATTTAGCGTCTGGGTCAGTCTGTGGACACACTACTAATCTGCCGGGTATTTACTAACTCCGACTAGCATATGTATGGTAAAGGTAACTCTGCCTAGCCATCTTTTGGTGGATAGAAGGAATTTACCTGGTGTTGCCTCTAGTTGGATTTGAACCTTAGTACCCAGGATTATCACTCTAGCACTTCAATCTTTAGGCCACCCTTGGGGCCTTAATATGATATGATGAAAACCCCATTTGGTTTGTTGATGTTTGATTATCACTATGATCTTCTGTCGGTTTGCTGTCATTGGTACAGTTACTTCTTGGTATCTAGCTTATGAAATTAGAAAAAAGGTTTTTTTCTGGGGGTTGTTGCGAGTAGTATTGCTCAAATTGATAGCTATTTCCCTTCCCTTAGCCCATCTTACTCTTACCTTTACTGTTGTTATTTGAAGTTTAGGTTAGTTTGTGGACACACTACTTATTCACCTGGTTTATGCTATGTCCTACCAGCAAATTGGGCAAGGGTAACACTGCCTAACAGATTATAAGGAAGGAGAGAAACCAGAGAACTTTTAAGGAAAAGAATGCACAATAGAAACGATTAAGTGGAAAGTAATTACCACTTTAGGCTTTTGGTGTATAGAAAAGAATATAGAAGAGGAAATTCAACTTGTGGATCTCATAGGAGCTCTGTAACTATCTCTGTTTTTTTTTTTTTTTGCTCTTTATGTAATTAAATACTTTAGGAGGTGGCTAACATAGCCCTTAATGCCAAGAAATAATTCACCAAGTGGTACCTCTAGTGGGATTCGGGTTCGGACCTTAGTTACCAGGATTGTCAGTCTAGCTCTTCAATGTTTAGGCCACTCTTGGGGAATTGCTATGGTTATTCTGAGATCTTAGATGGCGCATCATGGCGAAGAATAAATATCAAACAGAGCAATGGCTGGCGGATAACTATCCCATGTCACATGCATATTGTAGAATTGCATGTTTTGTCTGCTTTAAGATGTTTTTATGTTTTTCAAAGTTACATGCTGTGTGACCTTTGTTGAGATGAGGACATATGCATGAAGATTTAATAGTTGTTCTTCATCTAATCTGATTAACAGATACTATAATTTGTTTTTATTGTCGTTCTCCTTGCTCCCCTTCACAAATATGGACAATTTGTTTTCTTAAAGTATTAAGGACACTTTTAGATGGATTCAATCTGAAAATTTTGAGTGTCCTGTTTTTTCCTTATTAGTTTACATTTTTGGGAACAATCTAATCTTGCTTGAACAGCCCCTGGCAGATGCAATACATTATAAAAATCATGCAGTGATCAAGCTACTGGAGAAACATGGTGCCAAGCCTCCAGTAAGTTTGCATTCCATTCAAGCTCTACTGATCAAGGAAAAACTTTTATTTCATATTGTGATAAGAGTTGCTTGGCTTGATGATTGGCTAAATTAATTTTCATCCAGATGGCTCCTATGCATGTTAAGACTTGCCGTGAAGTTCCAGAATACGAGATTGATGCTAAAGAGCTTGATTTCACTAATAGCATTGAGTTGAGCAAGGTAATATATTTCGTGTTTTCACTCTTGTGTCCTGTGGAGATATATGCGTGCAATTTTCGGTTGATTCTCTAGCCCCCTTTAATTTCCTATGGTGTTCTACACCAAAATCCATTTTTTATTCTGCCGTCATTGTTAGTATCATTTTCCCACCTGAGACTATATAGTCTGTACTGGCTTTTCCTTTTTTCCTAGTCTTAACTATTTGACTTTACTGTTGTCATATTTCTATGTCTGTTGTCTTGGAAGATTCTAGTGTCAAAGGGTTTACTTAATGTAGCTTGATGATCACCTTAGAGTTCAATATTGAATTAGTAAGATTGTACTATTGGAAGCTAGTGTTATCAAAGGCGAAAAGCGTAAAAAAGCTCTAAGGTCCGTTGGAGCTTTTAGCGCAAATAAAGCGTGGGTTTTAATTAAAAGAAGCACAAAGGGACAAAATATACAAATATATATGTTAAGTCTAAGACTAATAATTATAAACACGCGTGACAAATATGACCATAGAAATTGAAAAAATATTATGATAAAGTGAAATATCAATTGTTTAGTGTCACTTCTTCCGAAGAGGTTCATTGGCAAGGAAAAGTTTGCCTTAGAACCTTGATGACGATATTGAAGCGCACATAAAGCGAGCTGAAGCGCTCAACACATTTTGTGCCTCGCTTCAGGGCTTAATCGTGCCTTTGACAACACTGTTGGAAGCAGCAGTTGCATGAGGCAAGTATGAGTAGATAAGGTATATTCAATGGAGGAAAACTGAGGCTAGCCTCATCTGATCACATCTTAGATTGATCTGTGGCATATTGCTCAGCTGCATAGGATTGCTTATCTTCTTCTTTTGGAACCTTGGCTAACTATTTGTTGATTAGTGTGTACAATCTGATGCTTACAAGAACGTGAGATGACTCATCTAATTGTTTACTGAAGTGGCCTAGTATATCTTTCTTCTCCAATATAGAATATTTTTTTCTCTACTCCTCTGCTGATAGGAGGTATGAGAGGTTGGCTATGGATGGTTTCAGGAGAGGTAGAGGTAGGCCGGAGAAGTATTGGAGAGAGGTAATTAGACATGACATGAGACAGGCACCTTACCGCGGACATGGCCATAGATAGGAGGTTGTGGAGGACACGGATTAGAGTGGGAGGTTAGTAGGTAGTAGAGTGTTGTCTCAATTATCTTTCCATACTAGTACTCGTTGTCTTACTTAAGGAGTTTTTTGTCCATTGATGTTTTATTACACTTCCATTATTGTATTATTTTGTTATAGTTATATTTTTTTCAGAATGCTTTGACATGCTTTCTATGGTATTTTTCCACGACTTCTTCACAAATTTCCCCCCTTCATTGAGCCGGGGGTCTATCTGAAACAACCTCTCTACCTCTCAAGGTAGGGGTAAGGTTTGCGTACATTCTACCCTCCCCAAATTCCACTTGTGAGATTACACTGGGTATGCTGTTGTTGTTGTTCTCCTCTGCTGATCCCAAAGATATTGTAGGGAACCTTCCATATTGCTTCATGGCGTGGTATACAAGTTGCTGTAAAAAAGTTTGGGGAGGATGTGATTGCTGATGAGGATAAAGTGTGAGTAACTTTAAAGTGATAGTGCTTCTATTTTTCTACTTACAAGGGGAAAAGCCGTAGTTGCTACTTCACATTGTTTAGCTAGCACCTCTCATTTATTTTTGGTGGATATTTACATTCACTAATATTAGAGCTTCTGCAGGAACGCATTTAGAGATGAGCTTGCGTTGCTCCAGAAGATGAGACATCCTAATGTGGTGCAATTTCTTGGTGCTGTAACACAAAGCAGTCCTATGATGATAGTGACGGAATACTTACCAAAGGTCTTACATATTAACTCTTAACAGTTTGCATAATTATATTTGACAACATTTTTATACACTGTTTTCTCCAGTTCTATCATTGTTTCAATTTACATTCTCTTTTCTTCTTTTTGACAATATGTTTGAAATTTTTCCAACAAACCTATCACTTTGAAATGACTTTTCCATGCCGTATGTTTCCAGGGTGATCTCCGTGAATATTTGAATAGAAAAGGAGCGCTTAAACCAACTAAAGCTCTCAGATTTGCAATGGACATCGCCAGGTTCACATCCAATCTGTGTCAATGACCAATATTATATTCTTTATAATTTGCAAGATTAATGGTTTAGATTTTTCTAAAAAAGTAATTTTTTCATTATACATTACTTATAAAACTTTGAGTTAATGTTCAAAAACACACTTAAAGTATCCGGTTTCTTGAGTTTACCACCTGAACTATGCGAGTTTCCTACCTAAACGGTCACCAACTATTTTTCAAAATACACCTCATCGATCTGTTATTCCCCTTTTCCTACCTGAAATATAACCATCTTTTAGGTAGGAAAAGAGAACAATTGATGTTGAAGTGTGTTTTGATGAATAGTTCTGGTAGGAAACTCGTACACTTGATAGCTCCGGTATGAAACTCAAAAAACTGGAATACTTTAGGTGTGTTTTTGACCCTTCACTCTAAAACTTTTTTTGGATGTAAAATCTCAATGTCTTTTAGTCCTTTGATTGGAGCATTACTGCTGAGTATTAAAATTCTCATATATAATATTTGGTTTTAGGGGAATGAACTATCTGCATGAACATAAAGAAGCAATTATTCATCGTGATCTTGAGCCTTCGTAAGTTTCACTTCCTTCAGGTTACCTGAATTACATTTTGTCTATACTAACGCCTAGCTAAGTTTTCGAGTAGCATCAATGCTTTCATATTGTGATTTGAGACTCTTCATGTAATAATAGTTGACTTTTTTTGGAGTAAGATAACAGAAATATTTTGCTGGATGATACTGGACATCTGAAAGTTGCTGACTTTGGAGTAAGCAAGCTACTGAAAGTTACAAAAAGGGTCAAAGAAGATAAGCCTCTGACATACGAAGACAGTTATCGTGAGTACTTCTTCTTTTAGATATTCAATAGTCCTCTATTCCTTCTCCATTGGAAAAGATATGGTAGCTTGTTACTGTGGAAAATAATATATGCGTGAGTGTTTTCAAGTTTACTTGATAGCTCCAAAAAAAGCTTTCTTTATTTGAGATGTTGTGATTGGATCCTGTTTATTGATATTTGAGAACCAATAATTGGATTTCTTCTATTATTTTCATCATCTTTTTTTCTAAAAAAAAAAACTTTTCAATTCTTGTGCAACAAATAGGCCGATATGTAGCTCCAGAGGTTTTCAGGAATGAGGAATATGATACCAAAGTTGATGTCTTTTCATTTGCCTTGATTTTACAAGAGGTAAAATTGTCTTATCTGATTCATGTTTAAACTTTGAGGAAGAACAGTTTGTTTGCACTCTTGTGGACCATATCTTTATTTTATGTTTAAGAGTGTGTGAATGCAAGGAGGCATTATGTTCCGTGTTCTTAAAAGTGAAAGCGCAAAACTAGAAGTGAACACATACTTTTTAAAAATGAAATCGAAATGAGTGCTCAATCCGTAGAAAATCAGAGATCGTGTATAACATATACTCCCTCTGTCCTTATTTACTTGTCCATTTTTTGACTTGGCACACCTATTAAGAAAATAATAATTGACATAGTGAGTTTACCATTTTACCCCTATTAATTGATATAATTCCAAAATCAATTTACTCATTAAAGAGGCTCTACCTTTCAAAAACATTAACTATCTAAATAAATTGAGGGTATAATATGTAAAAAATATTGTCTTTTCTTGATTTGTCAAAAATGACAGGTAAAAAGGGACAGAGGGAGTATGTATTTAATACTAATGGCATCAAATTACAAATAAATTACTAATTTAAGAATTCAATACATAATGATACCATAGTATTCTTGCAATTCTGCTTCAGAAACATTTCTTTTGATCCGAGGGTCAATCAGAACAACCTCTCTACCTCACAAAGGTAGGGTAAGGGTGAGGTCCCCATACCTCCAGATCCCACTTGTAGGATTACACTGGATATGTTGTAGATCAAATTTAACATGATTTCATTATGTTTCAGTAAGGTCATAGAGATATACAGTGATTATCGTTTACTTGAATATTGATCTGATCTATTTATGTTGTATATCTGCGTAAGTTTGAAAGTAACTCTGATTTGATAAAATTTAGCGAGTCAAAGATGTGCGTCTTTTGCAGTTTCTCTTTGCAGAAACAGGCGATGTATTTTATCTATGTGTTGTGTTGTGTTTTAGATGATTGAAGGCTACCCCCCTTTCCATGCGAAGGAAGAAAACGATGTACCTAAATTGTATGCTGCTAAAGAGCGCCCTCCTTTTAAAGCCCCGGCGAAGTTTTATGCCCATGGACTGAAAGAGTACGTTCTATATTTCTCATCAGTTGCTACTGTAAATCACGATTTTTTATTTTAGTATAATAAACCATGCTATTCTAGGGTAAATATCGATTGTTATAATCTGAGAATATGAAAAATCATGTCAATTAGGTGTGAGGAGAACCATAAGGTCTCAGGTTTGAATTCTAGTGGAGACGATAAACACTAGGTGATTTCTTCCAATTTTAAATAGTTATCTGGTACTTGCAACTGTGGCATAGTAAACATACTTAAAAAGAACATATAAAAATGAATAAGAACTGAACAGACCTACAATTATAAAATCAAACTATTCAGAATTGGCGTTCCTTTCCTTCCGTATAGGTGGCAGCCTCTTTCCACATCTCTGATGCACATAAAACACCTACACATCTACATATCATGATTCCCCTTTTCTGTAGGTTGTTTTGTGTAAGGAAAGCATCCCAGGCGACATACTATACGAAAAAAAAGGGCTTTAGACTTACCAAAGCTGTTTCTATATCCAATTGGTAAACCTGGTGGAGATATAAGCGCATATACGGGTTATGCCGAGCCCAATAGCTTTTGCTCAAACAATGTATCTTTGTTAAGAGGTTCATTTAATATGTATACATATGAAATTTAGAACCCCAATGCATATGAAGTCGTCGTTCTAAAATTTACAATCCATAAAGTTGAAATCCTGGCTCTACCTTAGTTGGTTTTAATCTTGATTCTACTTATACATAGATTACTAGGGTTATAACTGATCAACTGGTGTCTTTACTTAGATGGTAGCATTTAAACAAACTGGGATCTTGGAAAATGTCCTTGTTGTCTTCTTTTTTTTGTATATAAATTTTACCATCTCATGGTCATCAATTTGCTGCTGTCTCCAATATGATACTCTCTACATTTCAATTTGTTTGTCTTACTTTCCTTTTTAGTTTGTTTTGAAGAGGACGTCTCTTTTCTTTTTTGGTAACTCTTTAGTTTCAATTCCACATGGCATGTTTAAGACCACAAGATTAAAGGATGTTTTGGTACATTTTACATATTTTGTTTAAGACCACAAGATTCAAAAAGTCTTCTTTACTTTCTTAAACTCCGTGCCAAGTCAAAATTAGATAATTAAATTGAAACGGAAGGAGTAATATTAGGGGTGCTTTTGGTGTTCAGATTGATTGAAGAGTGTTGGAACGACAAGCCAACCGAGCGGCCAAGTTTCAAGCAAATTATCCCAAGGCTTGAGTTCATCTATAAAAAGTTTGACCACAACAAGCGCTGGAAGGTAAAATATCCATTAGTGGTTCTTGCACTTCAAACTATCGTATTATTTTGATGTAGTGTCTGTTCCTTTTTTAGTATGGTTTGTTATGCTTTCTTTAGCATTTTGTATTGGCTTCTTCTCTCCTGTTTTTTTTTTCCGAACTGCTTTTATTTGAGTCGAGGGTCTATTAGAACAATCTCTCTATCTCCCAAAGTAGGAGTAGGGGTAAGGTCTGCATACAAACTACTCTCCCCTGACCCCACTTGTGGGATTATAACGGCTATGTTGTTATTGTTGTTGTTGTATTGGTGTTTATGTGTTTGATCTTTTCACGTTTTGGTTATCAATGAATCAAATATTTGTCATTTGTTTTATCAATAGAGACGTATTAGCTCTAAATCAACTCGAATTATATTGCTTGCTTTTGTGATATATAGACTTCTAGCCTGGCTCTGATTTGAGAAGTAGCTCATCTGAGATACTATAAGTGGACGAGTTAGTTATAATTATCTCAGATGAATCTTTGTTCAGTGTTGGTTATGTGACTCAATGATGTCCCTTCAGTCCCAACAAGTTGGGGTCAGCTATATGAATCTGAGCTAATCACCACATTCCCATTTAATATCATCTCAGTCCAACATTATTACAAGAAACCTTAATCTTGCCACGACCTTTACTGCAGTTTAGCATAACATATTATTCAGTAGATACCTAAGTGCCTCTTTTTCACCATGAATATTTTGCTACAATGCAGGTAATTAGACCATTGAACTGCTTTCAGCATTTAGAGGCAATGTGGAAGAAAGATAGTTCAGGTTTAAGTAGTCGGAATCGTTCATCTCGGTCTACGCGCCACATCTAAGTAAGTTTCTGCAATAAACAAAAATTCATTTGTTCATCCACTGTGTATAATGTTTTTCTACTTCTCCACATTGTCTGCAAAAATATTCAGTTGCTCTTAGTAGTATTTAGGCTGTTGGGTTATTTTCTAGTTTCAAAATCTTCTATTCTTTAGTCATTGGAATGAAGATATTTCCCTAAGTTTAATACTATTTTTGTATATGAAATTTGAACATTGTGTTCTTCATTGTCTAAATATGAACTTGCTTTCAATCATCATTCAATCAAACCTCTCTATAAGGACGTTGTTTGTCTGAATAATTTATGGATAATCAGTGGAGTGACACACAAACAATACTTAAAATCTTGAATTTCTATTACGTGACATCGAAACACTGAAAAAAGAGATGATATTATTGAGAATGCAAACAAATTTGTGAGGCCTGTATCAGCCAAGTTTAGGTGGGCCTACATAGTCGGTCGGCTAAATTCTTGAATATCAGTAGACTAATACACACGAAAAATGCTAAAAAAATCTTAAATTCCTATTTTGTGACATTAAATCGTTAAAAAAAGAGACGTTGAGTACTTGTCAAAAGGCTTGTGAGGCTCGACTTAGCCAAGTAATTAATTTCCGAACAATCAGTGGACTAACTCACACGAAAAATGCTTAAAATCTTGAATTCCTTTATGTTGAAAGCACTAAAAGAATTGGGATTAGTAAATTCTTGGTGGGCATAGGCTTTTCCTTAATTGACTCTTTAGAACGTGAATTTAAATTAGTCGAATTAGTAACGACGTCACAATGCTTTACCCCTCAATTTCAGCGCAAATTTAAATTTAGTCGAATTTCAATATAAATACCGAATACCGGAAGGAAACCAAGAAGTAATAATTTATATCATCACATTTCTTTATTTTGAGTCAACCCCCCCTCCCCACAACTACATTAATACCAGTTGGTAATTTTTATTTTTATAACCAAACAAGTATTGTTGTAGAGGAATTATTTTATTAATACTACAATGATACCTTTCTATAACATGTTACAATAGTAACTAAGTTGTTTTTTCCGAACAAACGATGTTCTTATAGAGAAGTTTGATTATATTAAGTTTGTACGAGACCCTAATGTCAGTCGGATACGAATCGGTTGGTAGAAGAGCAGTGTATGATCTTGTAGCAATCGCCCTATTTGCAGCTTCTGTTGGATGAAAATTATCAAAAAACACATATTGATTTCTGTTACTGCATGAAGTTTGACCATTATTGCTGCATTGTCCTTTGGCTGTTGTGTTTGATATTATGCAGCATGGTGAGTCAAAAACTGTGAAACCTGAAATTAATCCAAAAAAAAATAATATATGATATTAAATTATCCGAACAAAAAAATATTCTCTTTGTTTCAATTTATGTGATGGCATTTCCTCTTTAATGCATTTGTTTTTTAGCGTCCGGGTGGTGATATTGATTTATAGCTATCGAATTTGGACTTTAAATGCGATATATAGTTATAATAAATATTATGACATGTTTTAAGAACATATAAGTTTCAAAGTTATATTTTTTCTTTCTTAAAAAAAAAAACTCTTTCCTAGTAGGGTAGGGTGACAATAGGGGTGGGCTGGTTAGGCTGGGATTAAGCATTTTGAAACCTAACCTAGCTACTAGAAAAACAAATGGTTAATATTTGTAACAATTATACAATTCATCCAACCTTGTGCCATTTGTCCCCCTCATTATGTTATATTTCCTTCACTTTATCATAATAAATAATTACTCACTCAATTTTTTGTAATTAGGGATGACGATCAGATTTTAACTTTATAGGTTCTGAATATTTAGAATGAAGATTTCAAGTAGAATAATGGGATTCTAATACATATAGGATGTTTTAATATTTTATAAATTTCTTATACAAATACATTATTTAAGTAAAAGTTATTACATTTGACCAAAACTTATAACTAGATTCTACCTCTGTTTACCTTGCGTATAATATACTCCCCCGTTTCAGATTTACTTAGATTATGTTAACCTATAACACTCCTTAAGAAGATTTTAATTAAAAATATATTTTACTAAACTAATCTTACTGAATCTCTAAATTTGGCCGGCGACAACTACTTCATGTAGTTGTTTAGCACTAAGGATAGTATGGAAAAAAAAATATAACCCATATCTAGCTTCTACCTCATTTTCGATTTATGTATGATGTTTAAGAGGACATAATTAGAAAAAAAATGACTTTTTTTGAAAAAACTTGTTATTTTAACGATAAAAAATTATCACATTAGTTGTTTACATCAAACAAAAAGATATATAACTTATGTTTATGCATACACTCATTCACTTAATCATGATTACTTAACAATATTATCGTTATCAAATTATTTAATCATAGCTGAGTTAGTTAAAAAAAAAAAAATCAGATACGAGTAAGTAATTGCGAAATATAAATAAAAGTATTATAAAAATGAAGAGTTGAAGAATATTTTAACCTACCAATAGGTGGACCCCCTGTTGAAATGCTAGTCTGATTTGAAATAATAAACCTTGCATTGGGAAGATTAGTGTTCAAATTATCAATTGAAACCTTTAATTTTTGATTAATAGTTGGACATAATTATTAATAAATCAACACATCCAGATGCATTTCTTCCATATGTTCTTGTCTCCTCTGGCAA